TTGCAGCTTATCTTGTGCGCAATAGGGCAATATATAAAATATTTAGATAGCATATATGCAGCTTTGTGATTGCATGAAAAATATGACTTAGCCTCATCTGACTTTTTTTTTTATAGTCATAGACTTTACAGCTTCTATTAATGAACAATCACAATGAAAGACTTGAGCATTATGACTTCCCCAGTCAAACCTACTCTGGTTTTTCTTTATTCTTACAAATCTACATCTTCTTTTGAATTAACATCTAAAAGGCAGCAGCACTGCAAATGCAAAGGTGTAATATGCCCCAACTGCAAGTGTCTCATCTGACATGGGATAGGGAAAATAAATTGCATAGTGAGATAGTTGAGGTCAGCCATGTTAGTTTATTTCTGAATAATATATCTATAACTAAGTATTCATGCAAAGCCTATGTCATAATTCAATATTTCAGTGGTATGTTTAATTCATATATCACAAAAATCAACAATATATCATTATGTATTAAAACTTATTCAAAAACTATGTTCAGATACATAACAGCAATATTTACTTACATAGTCTTGTTTTCTCACATCGTATCCACATTGTTTATTTTTTATAATTTCCTGAAATGCATGTAAGATTAGACATACATGGAAACTAAGAAAAATAACAAAATTATCTTTGCCAAACTACAAGTCAAGAAGACAAGTTTTTTTTATACAGATGCAGCCTACCCTTGCAGTAAAGGACCTTTTTATAATGGATCCTAATTATTATAGAAAAAAATTGTCATCTGCTATGAACTCCCCAACCCCTAACCCCAACATGATATGGACAAAAACTGTTTCCCCCAAGCTAGTTATCATTATGTCATTTTTTAATATTTTTCTGTTGGAGGTAAGTCTATGGCAATAAGAATGGGGGAAGAGGTATTTGTAAAGGGAAAATATGGTACAGAAGAGAATTATAGTTATAAAAAAGGATATGTTATTTATCCAACATACAGGAAGCTATCCAGCTGTCCATACACTCCTGTGGTACTCCTTTTTATATCTCCTACAACCTCCCATCATTTGACTGTCAACCACAGAACAGAAAAGTACAAGTATTGTATTGTATATACCATTAAACTGCCACAAAATGTTTAAATTGCTATGCAGCCTTTTCTTTGCTTGTTTCATAACCTAAGAACTTTTTGTTCTACTTTTTATTAGTTCCTAATAGTTGTCCTTTTTTCATCACATATTAACCTGCATGTGGATAAATTACAAGTGATACATTAAAACCTCTGTTACACACAATCAATATTCCATATTTGGTTAGTCTGGTGGGGGGAAAGAGTCATGGCCAGGGACAAGTTTTTAAGATTACTTAAGGATTGAATGGGTCCTCTGGTTGTTTCCAACTTCAGTTAGCCCCTTGTTGCCAGGGTCACTGCAAAATCAAAATCTGTTTAAAATCTAATTAGTATTCATCAAAAACAATTTACAAAAACAGGAACTTACATCAGCTTTTTGTTTGCAGCATGAGAAAGGGACTCCACAGGCCTCCCTTGAGCCAACAGCCTCCGATGAGCAATTAAAATAAATATTTCGATCCCAGTCCTTTGGCCCCTCAATGCCACAACATTCCAACTGAGATGGAAAAAGAGAAAAAAATATTATTTCTTAGTCCATAAAGAGTAAAAGTTATTTCAGACAAACTTATTTTCCTATGTTGACCCACTCAACAACCAGACTTCCCACACCATACCAAGCAATGAGTTGACCTTGCACAGTCAGCCACATGTGAACAGTGTGGGAAGCATACATATACCCTCTCTCTGTTTTTGGCTGTGGCAAACACAAGTTTTTAGGGAATGAAGTTAGGTAGAAATTTTTGTAAATTTAAAGGGCTGTAATATCCTTGATAACCATTCATTTCTTTGGCTCTTGAGAAGTTATAATAGCCACATTGTTCATGGTTTGGTACTTGTCATGTTGTACTTGAACCCCATTTGTTATGACATGCTTAGGCATCATCTGGCATGATTCAATCAAATCATATAACAATAGTACAGTAATACTAAGAATAATGTCTAATGATGATATTAATAACAACAATGATAACAAGAACTTATATCAGAAAATAAAATAAGAATAATGTATTATCATAGTATAAATATAAACAAAACTAAGTTAAAATTGCAAAATAATGTACGAAATGCAAAACAACGATTAGCACTTGTTCAGACTACTTACCCACTTCTCCTGTATCCAGTCAATCAAGTTCTGCTGGTCAGGGTCATCACGGTAGTGCACAATGAATGCCTGGAACCCGTTGGTTGCTTGAGATTTGATCTGCATTGAGGGGAAGTTCTGAATTAAAAGCTTGAAGTAATGGGGAGAAAAAAACCTATATATGCATGTTTATGTATATGTGTATTTGTGATAGCATACATGAAAATACATATGCATGTGTACCTATGTATGTATAAATACATACATAGGTACATGTGTGAGTATAAATGTGCATAAATAAATATAAACACACACACACACTTCCTCCTCCTCCCTCCCTCCCTCCCTCCCTCCCTCTCTCCCTCTCAATCACTCACACATCCACTCACTCACTCACCCACATTCGCTCACTCATTCACATTCACTTATTCACTCATTCACACATTCACTCACTCACTCACCCACACATTCACTCACACATTCACACACACCTTTCTCTCACACATTCACACACACACACACACACACACACACACATTCACATACACACACACACTTTTCTCTCACACATTCACACACACACACATTCACACACACACGCCTTCTCTCACACATTCACACACCACAAGCCTTCTCTCACACATTCACACACACTCTTTCTCTCACACATTCACACACACACGCCTTTCTCTCACACACACACATCTTTCTCTCACACATTTACACACACACGCCTTTCTCTCACACATTCACACACACGCCTTTCTCTCACACATTCACACACACACGCCTTTCTCTCACACATTCATACACACATAACATTCACACACACGCCTTTCTCTCACACATTCACACACACACGCCTTTCTCTCACACATTCACACACACACGCCTTTCTCTCACACATTCACACACACACACACACATTCACACACACACGCCTTTCTCTCACACAGCCACACACATTTCTCTCACACAACACACACACACACACACACTTTCTCTCACACATTCACACACACACATTCACCACACACACAGCCTTTCTCTCACACATTCACACACACACGCCTTTCTATCATACATTCACACACACAAGTCTTTCTCTCACACATTCACACACACTCCTTTCTCTCACACATTCACACACACACGCCTTTCTTCACACATCACACATTTTCTCTCACATTCACACACACACACCTTTCTCACACACACACACACAGCTTTCTCTCACACATTCACACACACACACACACCTTTCTCTCACACATTCACACACACACACCTTTCTCTCACACATTCACACACACACACACACCTTTCTCTTTCACACACACACCCTTTCTCTCACACATTCACACACACACACACCTTTCTCTCACACATTCACACACACACACACACACACACACCTTTCTCTCACACATTCACACACACACACACACACACACCTTTCTCTCACACATTCACACACACACACACACCTTTCTCTCACACATTCACACACCTTTCTCTCACACATTCACACACACACACATCTTTCTCTCACACATTCACACACACACACACACACACACACACACACACACACACACACACACACACTCTCACACATTCACACACACACACACACCCTTTCTCTCACACATTCACACACACACACACCTTTCACACACACACACACACACACACCCTTTCTCTCACACATTTACACACACACACACACACACACACACACACACACACACACACACACACACACACACACACACACACACACACACACACACACACACACACAGAAAAAGAAAAGCAATAAAATAACTTGAACATACATACCCAATCTTTGAAAATGAAGCCAAGGATGCCTGCAGTCATTTCTAAGAGGAGCAGGATGGCAAGGAAGATGGCATACTGTGCAACAGACAGGAAAAATTGATAACAATGAATGCTATATAAGACACTATTTCATTAGGAAATTATCATTAGCTATATGGGTACCTTAATTAATGAACCAATAACCTAAGAAACAGTTTTGTATCATGAAAATAAAATCATCTTTGAAATACACAAATCATATATTATACCTGTTCCATACAGTCAGTGATGAATAAAAATACAGCAGGAAGTTATACAAGCTACACAAATACTCACACATGCTAGTAGACAAGTGTTTTCCCTGAGGGCCCCCACACAGCCAGTGAAGCCAATTGTAAAAGTGATCAAGCCTGCAGAAAGACATTTTATTTCAGAATGATTTAAGAAATGTTGAACGTTTAGCTATTTCACTTCCCTTACAATGAACCATATGGTTTTGCCTGCTGGTTTGTGAATGAAAGCTGTAATTATGTCAGCTGGTCTGTTCCTGAAATTTGTATCTTTATCTTTTAGTAACAGACCTGCTTTCTAATAACTTATCTAATTCTATTGATATACAATAAAATTCTATCTCATCACAAGTTTAAGTGATTTGTCTATAGAAGGTAAATCTAAAACACACTTGGATGATCATAAAATGATTGAAGTAATAATACCAAACTAAGATACAAATCTATGGCTAACCTCAGACAACACATCATAGTGACAAGCCTTAGAGGATTCATTAAGAATGATAGAATGTAAACTCTTCAATACACGCACTGATCAACAAGCAGATGCAATACTTCTGAACAAGTGCAATTGCAACATCCAACATGAGCATGATGTTTGAGTTCAACAACATTCAGTATCAGAGCAGTAATGGGAACAATTTCAAATGTCAATATAAGCATAACATAAATAAAATCCCCTTCTAGGCAGAAATAGAATTCTGCC